GGTTTTATTGGCTCATGGTTCTGAAGGCTGTAAAGGAAACATAGTGGCATCTGTTTGCAGGGAGGCCTTAGGAAGCTTCCAATCATGGCAGAAGGCAAAGGGGTAACAAGTACATCATATGGAGAAAGAAGAAAAAAGAGATCTGGTCACACTTTTAAATGACCAGATCTCATGTGAACACAGAGGTAGAGCTCACTTATCACCAAGGAGATGGCCCAAGCCATTCATGAGGGATTTGCCCCCACAATCAAAACACCTCCCACTAGGCCCCACCTCCAACACTGGTGACTTTAATTCAACATGAGATGTTGATGGGCACAAATACTGAAACTGAATCATGTTGCCTCTTGCCTCTCCCAAATCTCATGTCCTTCTTACATTGCAAAATACAATCACGCTTCCCAATAATCCCCCAAATCTTAACTCATTCCAGCATTCACTCAAAATTCCAGGGTTCAAAGTCTCATCTGAGACAAGGCAAATTCCTTCCACCTATGAGACTGTAAAATGAAAAAACAAGTTAGTTACTTCTAAGATAAAGTTGTGGTGTAGGCATTGGGTAACACAAGCTCCATGCAAGTTTGAAACCCAGGAGGGCAGGCATTAAATCTTAAACCTCAAAAATATTATTTTATGACTCCATGTCCTACACTCAGGACACACTGGTGTAAGGGGTGGGCTCCCAAGGCCTTGTACATCTCCCCGTCTGTGGCATTGCAGGGTTTGGCCCCTGAGACTGCTCCCACAGGTTCTTGAGTGCCTGTAACTTTTCCAAGTGCGGGGTGCACACCACTAGTAAATCTATAATTCTTGGGTCTAGGTGGGTGGTGGCTCCTTTCTCAGAACTCCACTAGGCAGTGCCCCACTGGGGACTCTGTGTGGGGGCTCCAATCCCACATTTCCTCACTAAACTTCCCTAATAGAGGTTCTCTGTGGGGCTCTACCTCTGTATCAGGCATCTGCCTAGGCACACAGGCTTTTCCATACATTCTCTGAAATATAGGCCGAGGCTGCAAAGCATCCTTCACTCTTGCATTCTGTGCACCTACAGACTTAAAGCCACATGGAAAGATTATGGCTTGCGTTCTCCAAAGTGACAGCCTGAGCTGTATCTGGACCCCTTTGAGCCCCAGCTAGAGCTGGAGCAGCCAGGATGTGGTAACCGGTATCCAAAGACTACACCTAGCAGCAGGGCCTCGGTCTGGCTCATGAAATGATTCTTCCCTCCTTGGCCTCCAGGCTTATAATGGGAGGGTCTGCCACAAAGGTCTTTGAAATATACTTCAGGTCTTTCTCATATCATCTTGACTGTCAGCACTTGGCTCCCTTTTAGTTATGCAAATATATCTAACAAGTGGCTGCTCCACAGCCTGCTTGAATTCATCTCCAGAAGTAGCTTTTTATTTTCATGTCACATGGCCAGCCTGCAAACTTTTCAAACTTGTATACTCTGCTTAAGCATAAGTTCCAACTTTAAGTAATTTCTTTGCTTCTACTTCTGAGCACGGGCTATTAGAAACAGGCCACATCTTGAACACTTTCCTGCTTAGAAATTTTTTCCACTAGATACCATAAATCATCTCTATGACGTTCAAACTTCCACAGATCCCTAAGGCATAAACAGAATGCAGCCAAGCTCTTTGCTAAGGTATAACATGCATGACATTTGCTCCATTTCCCAATAAGTTCCTCATTTCCATTTGAGACCTTGGCAGCCTAGACTTCACTGTTCATATCACTAGTAGCATTTTGATCACAACAATTTAAGCAGTCTCTAGGAAATTCCAAACTTTCTCTCATCTTTCTATCTTCTTCTATGCCCTCCAAACTCTTCCAGCCTCTCCCCATTACCCAGTTCCAAAGTGGCTTCCACATTGTTAGGTATCTTTATAGCAATGCCTCACTCGTCAGTATCAATTTTCTATATTAGGCTATTCTTGCACTACTATAAAGAAATACCTGAGACTGGGTAATTTATAAGAAAAGAGGTTTTATTGGCTCACAGTTCTGAGGCTTTTCAGGAATAATAGCAGCATCTGTTCCTGGGGAGGCCTCAGGAAGCTCCATTCATGGTAGAAGGCAAAGGGGAAGCAACATATCACATGGAAAGACCAGGAAGGAGCAAGAGAGAGTGAGTTAAAAGGTGTGACACACTTTTAAATGACCAGATCTCATGTGAACTGAGTGAGAGCTCATTTATTACCAAAGGGATGGCCCAAGCAATATATGAAGGATTTGCCCCCATGATTCAAATACCTCCCATCTGGCCCCACCTCCAACATTGGAGATTACAATTCAACGTAAGATTTTGGTAGGGACAGATATCCAAACTACATCAAGCATAACACAGACTAAGAGAAATACTTGGTCCTGTGAAGGGAAGCCATTGCTATGACATCTGAAAATGTGGAAGGGGTCTTGGAACTGCGTAATGGGCAGAGGTTTGAAGAATTTGGAGGCCTAGGCTACAAAAGCCTGTCTTGCCCTGAATGGAGCATTATGGCCAATTCTGGTGAAAAACTCAGAAGAAAAGGCTAGGGAAAGTCTAGACATTTTTAGAGATTACTTAAGTGCTTGTAATCAGAGTGTTGATAGAAATATGAACAGTAAAGGCCCTTCTGATGAGGCTCAGACAGAAATCAGGAATATTATACTGAAAACTGAAGTAAAAGCCATCCTTGTTAGAAAGTAGCAAAGAACTTGACTGAACTGTTTTTGGGCCCAAGGGCTTCATGGATGATAAACTAGGATACCTGATCTAAACAATAAAGCATTCAGGTTCTGCCTGGCTGCTTTTAACTGCTCATAGTAAGATGCTAGAGGAAAGAAATTATATTAAAACAGAATTGATGATGAAAGCGATTCAAAGAGATTTTTAAAATTTGCAGCCCAACCATGTAAAGAACAAAAAAACATGTAACAGTGTGGCCATGTGACCCTTTGCAGGGAATATTGGTATGAATTGAAGGGAGCTAGGTGCTATTCATCAGGACAATGGGAGAAAAAGATCCCAAAAGCATTTCAGACATTTTTGAGGCGGCCCATCCCATGGCAGTCTCAGAGATCTAAGAGGGCAGAATAGTTTCAGGTGACAGGCCCTGGGTGATCTCCACAGGCTCACTGCCCAGGGCCCCCTTTGGACTCTGCTCCCTGAATTCCGATGCAGTGCTCCTCAGCCATCCCATTCATGGCTCACATGGGCACAGGTGCAGCTCAACCTGACACTCCAGAAGGTACAAGTCATAAACCTTAAAAGCATACATATGCTGCTAATTCTGTAGGCTCACAGAATGCAAGAACTGTGGTGCCGTTGCTTCCGCCAGTTAAACTTCAAGAGATGTAGTGAACAGCTTGGAATCTGAGGCAAGACTTGTTGCAGGGATGAAGCCACCACAGAGAACCTCTACTAGAAGAATGCCTAGTGGAGCTGTGGGAGTAGAACCATCACTGAGGCACCATAACTGTAAAGTTTCTAGTATGCAATGCCAGCATAGGAGAGCTGAAGCATAAGAGGAGCCCAGCAAAGCCACTGGAGCTATAGAAATAGGAATACTTGAGGCATGGGGGCCCAAGCCCTACTTTAAAGTATGCAGGAAGCAGGATATGGAATCAAGGAAAATTATTTCAGAACTTTAAGACCTAATGTTGTTTTTCTCATTGGGTTTTGGACTTACCTGGGGCAGTTACTTTTTTCTTTTGCCTATCCCCTGCTTCTTAAACGGGAGTGTCTGTCCTAGGCCTGTCTTGTCATTTTGGTTATAGATAGCTTGTTTTAATTGCACAGGCTCACAGCTGGAATAAATTTACCTCAGGATGAATTGTCCCTTCAGTCTCAGATGAGACTGGACTTTTGAGTTGGCAGTGGAGCAAGTTAAGACTTTTGAGGATATTGAGATGGAGTAAGTATATTTTTCACTGTGAGAAGGACATAAATTTTGGGGGCCAAATATGTAATAGTATGGTTTGGATATCTCCCCCAAAATTTTATCTATTGGAAAGTTAATTGCCAATGTAATATGGGACCTTTTAGAGGTGATTGGGGTATGAGGGCAGAGCCCTTTTGAATCGTTCAATACCATTATTGTGAGAATGAGTTAGTTCTAATGGGAGTGAGTGAGTTTAGACAATAGTGGGTTGTTTGAAAGCGAGCTCAGCTCACTATCCATGCCTCTTTTGTATATTCTTGCTCTCTTGCCATGTGATCTTCTCTGCCATGTTATGATGCAATAAGAAGGCCCTCACTAAATGACAGCCTGTTGACCTTAGATTTCCCAAACTACAGAGCTGTCAGCTAAATAAACTTCTATTCTTTATAAATTACTCAGTCAATGGTATTCAGAGATAACAGAAAATAGACTAAAACAGTAAGAAGAAAAGAACTTTTTAAGACAACATCTACTTGAAGTCAACAGAATTTTGATAATATGAATGTCAAACTTTTAGTCTCTACATTTCCCAGTAGCTGGAACCGTGTCTTACTTTTCATTTAATGCTTTAGATAGTTTGTGACATTTAATAAGTTTGCATGAAAAAATTGAAAAAAAACATTGTGGCTGACTGCCATTGCTACTACTTGAGACTGTCATTACAGGAATTACTACTATTACTGCCTGAGACCATCATTACAAGACTGAACGAAGCAGGACGAACATGGAAATGATAACAAAAAACAAAAGAAACTATTTTAAAGGAAGGGGCCAGGGGAAGAAGAGAGCTCCCTGCTTCTAGTGAGCAAATGCAGCCCCTCAAGCTTCCACAGCCCTTCTTATTTATTGGGTAGAATGAGCAGGGGGAGGAGGTAATGATTGGTCAGCTTCTTGATTGAAAACAGGTTCTCATTATTACCAGCAGGCGTCAATCATGCCTAATCATAAGAAACACTTGTGCCTGGGTCGTGACTGCCCTCAGCAGTCCGTCTGGGTGGCAGACACAGTTTGTCAGTTTGCCAACGTTCTGCATTTATGAGGAACAGTTTCCTGCTTACTCATATAGCCTCCAGTGGTATACTGAGTTGATCACGACCCTCAATCTTTCGGCCTCCAACAAAACTTCATCATGGTACGTTACTAAACCTTATTTTAAAAATAGAGTTTTGTAATGGAAAATTCCTGCTGGAAAATAGTATACTTTGAAAAATACATTAATTCTTGTATTCCACTATGAGTTTGACTCAACTGGTAAGAAGGTAAAAGGTTAATTAATTTAAGAAACATGTAAAACCTGTATCATCCTATTTGTGAAGTAGTTTTCCTTGTTCATGCATCTGTGGCCTTTTGAAATAGCTATTGGTTTTTATTTCCGCATATGTTAAGGCATGTGTTAACCATTCACTTTTGTACTTTCATTAGGTATGTAACCTTGACTTAAATACATTTATTAATTGGATCAGCAGGCTCTATAAAAATTCAATACATCTTTTTGTGAGAAATGATTTAGTGGGAAGGTAATTTTTTAAAAATAATATAAATTATATGCATTTCTTGTAATTCAAAGCATTTCTCTGCATAAATTTTTTGATAAAATGAAGCTACTATAATAACAAAGGAACAGACTTTTTTTGGAATGTATGAAATGAAATAATTTGCTTCAATAACTTTCAAGAAGAAAGTGACAATTTAATTGTGACTGGAAGGACAGCTATGGAAAGTTTTCAGAATTGTCATCAAAGAAATACTTTATATAGATTATGAAAATTCCACCATATGATAATTTTAAAAATGCTAATAAGAACAAAGAGAATAACTTTTCCTTATTGTCAAGGATTTTTTAAAATACATAATATTAAGGAGAAATAATTCATTCCTGGTAGGAATATACATTTTTATAATGTTTCTATTTTTATATTATATAGGAAGGTGACCATATGTATGAAAAACTGCAAATATTTATAGTCTTTGAAATATAAATCCCGTATTTAGGCATATGTCTTAATGAAATTAGAGAGTGCTGTTGTTTTACAAGTATTAAAATAAGGTTGAAGCATGTTTAAAAGCATAGAAAAATGCTTACAATATGACATTGATATAAACACAGCAGGATTTAATTCTAGTTATCTATTACCAAGTTTTATTTAAAACCCATAGAAAAATGGAAGGAAACAATTTTTTGGGAGTAATAATATTACAGGGGACTTCATAAAAAGTATTTTCAATAAAATTTTTTATAATAAAAATTAGTAATGTGAAAAATACTATTTTAAACCTAAAAACAATGTCTTTTAAATACATATTTCATATTTTGGGGAAAGTTATCTAAGCATATTGACTTATTTTGTAACATGATACCAATTTACAATGTTAATGATAGTTGCAAGTAAAATGATGAATAACAACTTTATATAGGTAAAGTTACTATTTCTGTCATATAACATTAAATAAAGTTTTAAAGAATCTTCATCATTGCTATTACATAAAAATATACAGTGGACCACAGTTTTCAGCTTTCTGTCTCTATAGACCTGTCTTTTCAAGATACTTCAGATAAAGGCAATTATATAATACATAGTCTCTTGAACTCATCATCTTTAAATAGTTTACTATTCATCTGTGTTGTAGCATGTATCAGTATTTTGTTGTTTTATATTGCTGAATAGTATTTTATCTGTTCACCTGTTGATGGACATTGTTACAATTTGAGATTATTACAAAAATGCCACTATGAATACGTACATGTCTTTGTATGGACACATATTTTTCTTTCTCTTGGGTAGATTAGTAAGAGTGAAATTACTAGGTCATAGAAGTGTATTTTTTTAACTGTATAATTTGCTGCTATTCTGATTTCCAAAGTAGCTGAACCATTTTATATTCCTAACATTTTACAATTCTACCAGCAGTTAACAGGGTTTCAGTTTCTCTATATCATCTCCAATTCTTGGTATTGTCTGTGTTTTTTATTTTAGGCACTATTGTGGATGTGTAGTGGTATTTCTGTGTGGTTTTTACTTTCATTTCTCTAATGATTTAATGATGACGAGCATCTTTCCATATGCATATCAGCCATTCATATATCTCCTTTGGTGAGATATCTATTCAAATCATTTTCCCATTTTAAAAATTAGGCTTTCTTATAGTTGAGTTGTAATAATTTTTTATAAATTTTTTGATGCAAGTACTTGATCAAGTATATGATTTATGAGTTTTATCTTCCAGTCTTTGTCCTGTCTTTTAATTTTCTTAGTAGAGAATTTTGAAGTGTAGAAGTTTTGAATTTTTATAAAATTCAATTTTTAAAATTTTCTCTTATGCATTGTACTTTTGATATTTTATCTAAGAACTTTTTCTCAAAGTTTACAGTTATTTTCTTTTATATTTTCTTCTAGAAATACTTTGTTTCAGTTCTTAATTTTAGGTAATTATCCATTTTCAGTTAATTTGTGCATTTGTGTGATATATTAGCATCTAAGTGTATTTTTTGCTTGTACATATCACATCTGGTTGTCTCAGAAACATTTCTTGAAAAGATTATCATTTATCCCATTGACTTTGCATCTTGGTTGAAAATCAATTGATTATAAGTATGAGGCTTTATTTTTGGACTCTCATTTTTATGTCCTCATTTGTGTTCTATTGATCCACAGGTCTGTTTTTGTGCCAATACCATACTGTCTTGATTATGTTGGCTTTATTGTAAATTTTGAAATTGGATAATTTAAGTTCTGTAACTTTATAAATTTTTTAATATTGTTTTGGACTATTCTGTGTACTTTGCGTTTCTACATAAATTTTAGGATCAGCTTGTCAATTTCTGCAAAATAATATGGTATTTTGATAGCAATTACATTGATTTTTCTTTTGTGGGCCAGTTTTGGGAGAACTGGCATTTTGACTACATGAGTCCTTCAATTTATGAACATATGTGTCTTTGCAGCAATGTTTTATCATTTTCAGTGTTCACATGAGGTTTAAACCTTATTTAAAATTATAATTCCTAAGTAAATTTTTTGATGTTACTGTGAATGCAATTGCTTTCTTGATTGTAGTTTTAGTTTTTTTATTGTCGTTGTTGCTACAATGTAAAAGCACAATTAACTTTTGTATAGTGTTCTTGAACCCTGAGATCTATTAAACTCATTTATTTGTTACAGTAACATTTTGTGGATGCATTCGAATTTTCTGCGTAGATGATCATGCCATCTGTGAGTAAAGACAATTCTACTTATTTCTTCCCAACATTTTTGTTGTATTGCACTAGCTTTAACTTTCTGTTATTAAATAATAACATGCTTTATATTTGATCTTATAGGGGAAATAATTCAATCTTTCACAATAAAATATATTAGTTGTGTTTCCTTTTTCCTTTTAAAAGAAGGCTTTTCTTTGGGAGGCTGAGGTGGGCAGATTACCTGAGCTCAGGAGTTCGAGACCACCCTGGGCAACAGGGTGAAACCCCGTCTCTACTAAAATACAAAAAATTAGCCTGGTATGGCAGCATGCGCCTGTAGTCCCAGCTACTTGGGAGGTTGAGATAGGAGAATTGCTTGAACCTGGGAGACGGAGGTTGCAGTGAGCTGAGATCGCACCACTGCACTCCAGCCTGGGCGACAGAGCAAGACTGTTTCCAAAAAAAAAAAAAAAAAAAAAAAGCTTTTATCAGTTTTAGAATATTAGAATATATTTTCTACTCCTTGTCTTTTAAGAATGTTATCCAGAATGGACATTGAATTTTGTCAAATGTTTTTTCTTTGTTTTCATTTTACATCTTTTGATATCACCATGCAATTTTTGCCCTTTACTCTGTTAACAGACTGTATTACATTAGCTGATTTTCAAGTGGTTAAACTAATTTGCTTTTAGGGTATAAATCTCACTTGATTATCTTGTACAATTTTTGTGTTGTTGGATTTTATTTGCTAATAATTTGTTTAAAATTTTTGCATCTACGTTAATGAGGAGTATTATAGTTTTCTTGTAATTTCTGTATCTGGCTTTGGTATTAAAGTAATACTGTCCTATTGAAATGATTTTCAAAATGTGCCCTTCTATGTTTTGTGAAAGAATTTGTGAAAATTTGATATTAGTTCTGTTTTAAATATTTAATAGAATTTATCAGTAAAGCCATCTGGGCATTTGTATCTATAGAAAGTTTTATAATTTCTAATTCAATCTATTTACTGTTTAGAATCTATTTACATTTCCAGCTCTTTTTAACTTAGTTTTGGTGGCTTTTGTCTTTCATGAAATTGATCCATTTTATCTAACTTCTCTAATTTCTTGGAATAAAGGTATTAAAAATAGTTTTCTAAAAGTATTTTTGGAGTCAGTACTAAGGTCCCCTCTTTCCTTGCTAATTTTAGTAATTGTTGCTTCTCACTTTTTTATTTTAATTGTCTAGCTAAAAGTTTATCTTTTTTTGTCGTTTCAAAGAGAGAAGTTTTGGTTTCATTATTATTCTCTATTGTTTTTATGTGTTCTCTATTCCTTTTTTCTTTAATCTTTGTTTCCTTTCTTCCACCTATTTTAAATTTAATTTTATCTTTTCTCAAGTGTTTTAGGTGAAAACATAAGTTGTTGAGTTGAGATTTTCTTTTTCTTATGTCAGTATTAAACGCTATAAATTTTCCCTAAGCACTGCTTTTGTTGAAGTCAATACATTTATATGTTGTATTTTGGATTATTCAGTCTGAAATATTTTCTAATTTTCTTTATGATTTCTCCTTTGATTCCCGGGTCATGTAGAAGCATATGGTTAATTTTTAAGTGTTTATTGATTTCATATATTTATTTTTGTTGTTAATTTCTAATTTTATTTTGTTGTGGTTGGAGAACATTCTTTGCACAATATCAATCCTTTTAAATTAACGGAGACTTGCTTTATGGCCTAACATGTCTAATCTTGTGGAATATTCAATGTGTACTTGAAAACAGTGAGCATTCTGCAGTTAAGATGAGTTAGTTGATAGTGTTCTGGTATTCTATATATTTGTGAATGTTCTCTTAGTTGTTTTATTAATTATTGGCAGTGGGGTATTGAAATCTTAAACCAAAGCTTTTGAATTGTTTCATCAGTGTTTGCTCCGTGTAGGTCTCTGTTACTAGGTGAGTGAGTATCTTTTTATGGTTGTAATTTTTTCCTTATATATTGCCCCTTATGTCATGAAATACTCTGCTTTGTCTCTAATAATATATTTTTTTGCTTTAAATTCTATTTTTGTCTTACATTACTCTAGTCATTTCATCTTTCTTATTGTTACTATTTACGTAGTATTTTCCCCCTTCCTTTTGGTTTTTCGATTTCAACTCATTTGTTTCTTAAATCTGAAGTGGTTCTCTTGTAAACAGTATATAATTGGATATTGCTTTTTGTGATGGTTAATACTGAGTGTCAACTTGATTGGATTGAACGTTACAAAGTATCAGTCCTGGCTGTGTCTGTTAAGGGTATTGCCAGGGGAGATTAACATTTGAGTCAGTGGGCTGGGAAAGGTAGACACACCTTTAATCTGGGTGGGCACAATCTAATCAGCTGCCAGCTTGGCTAGAATATAAGCAGGCAGAAAAATGTGAAAAGAGAGACTGGCCTAGCCTCCCAGCCTACATCTTTCTCCCATGCTGGTTGCTTCCTGCCCTTGAACATCAGACTCTAAGTTCTTCATTTCTTCAGTTTTGGAACTTGGACTGGCTCTCGTTGCTCTTCCGCCTGCAGATGGCCTATCATGGGACCTTGTAGTTGTGTGAGTCAATACTTAATAAACTCCCCTTTATATAAACATCTATCCCATTAGTTCTGTCCCTCTAGAGAACGCTGAACAATACACTTTTGTAATCCAGTTTGACAGTCTCTGCTTTTTATTGGGATGTTTAGATCACATACCTTTAATATTATTTAAATTAATTAACTAATATTAGCATAATATGTTAATTAATTAATGTAATGTTACTGATATTTCTAGATTTTTATTTGCCAATTCTCTGTTTGTTTTCAGTATATCTTATTTCTTTTGTGTAACTGTGATCCTTCTTGACTGTTCTCTTTTGTATTAAATAATCTTTTCTAGTATACCATTTCAATTCTTTGTTGATTTTCTTTTTATACTATTTTTTTTAGTAGTTGCTATGTGGAATACAATATGCATCTTATAATTTACTTCAGATTAATACTAAGTTAATTTCAGTAAATTTTGAAACTTTGCTCCTTTCCCCTTTGTGCTATTATTTCATATATGTTACATTTATATTTATTATCAACCTGGCATTCTAATTATGACTATTGTTTTGTACAATCTTATGTTTTTTTCTTGGTGGGAAGAAATGAAAACAAATATTCATAGAGTCTTAACCTACATAGGTACAGTTTCTGGTACACTTCAATTATTCCCTTGAATTTCTACCATTTTTACTTACAAATGCCATTTCCTTTCTGCCAGTGAGGTTTCCATTATCTGATGATGGATCTGTGAGTTGGTAGAACACATTAACAGTTCAAATTGTTTTCAAATCTACCCTGGGCTTTGCTTTCTGCATGGCTATTTCAAGTCTCTCTCTGCATATTTACAGCCTCATAGTTGGCCAGGAATGTGTGACTAGCTTGGGGCCTCTTTGACACAGCTGTGCATATATTTAGCCACATTCAGCATAATGTTTCATCAAATCAGTACCACAAAGGTAGTAGGGCAGAGCCAAGCATCACTCTGACCAAGCTTGGGGAGGGGTGGATGAAAGTATCCCCAAGACAGAATGCCACAGATTTTCACTGTTCTTAACTGAATTTCAATAATCCAAGCACAAATGCTTCTCAAATCATTATATTCCTTTGGTTAGCTTTCATAGAACAGATATTCTTACATACTTTTTAAAAATCTTTTTTCCCCAGGTTTATAGTGCTTTTTTTGGGTAAAGAACTTGCAGTTCTCCTACTTATTGGTAGCCAGAAGTCTCACTGAGTGTACTATTTCTGAAGGATGGGGGAATAATGCCTAGTAAAGGAAATCATCCAAATAAAACTACAGTTCATTCAGACATGTCTGGCTAGAATATTTTTGTCAAATGTGGTTAAACTTTGAGTGATAGCAAATCATTAACACAGGAGTTAGAACCTAACAAAAAGAAATATTGATTATCTATAAACAAGATAAAGAGAGTAGCTAGGTAAAGTAAGACAGAAGAACTAGTTCAAAAATCATGTATAAACCTCAAGTCTGCTATATAGGATTCATAAAAGTATGTGATTGGGTAATTTTAGGCAGATTAATAATGGAAAAATAATTGTTTGTTGAAATGAGAGTTGGATTAGTCATTACCAATTAAATGCTTCCAGAATTCCTGGATTTCTGTAGTGACTTATGTTTAATATATAAGTAAGTTTTGCTCCTAATAATAAACTGCCTGCCTTGACTTCTCAGTGGATGTAAACCTTGGAAATAATCTTATTTGAATTTAGATTTATATACTTCTTAGGAGTGTTTTTAAGATTAATGCTAATTTTGTAATTGAGTACTTGATTAAACCTCTTGGAAAAATGTGCAACTCTATTGATGATGTACTAAATAGATAATGTATTATATAGAAAGTTTCTATCTTTTGAGAAGTAAGCTCAAAATGTATTTACCTTTGGAAAAGTAAGCTAAAATGACAGAGTATCAGGACAAGCTTGTCCAACCCATGGCCTGTGGGTCACATGTAGCCCAGGATGGCTTTGAAAGAAGGCCAACAGATATTCGTAAACTTTCTTAAAACATTATGAGGTTTTTTGGTGATTTTATTTTTAAAGCTCATTAGTTATCATGAGTATTACTATATTTTATATGTGGGCCAAGATAGTTCTTCTAACAGTTTGACCCAGGGAAGCCAAAAGATTGGAGACCTCTGACCTAAAAGTTAATGAGATTTGAGTCTGTTTTTGGTTCTAAAGGTGATAATATTTTATATTGACTTTGAAGTTTCACAAAATAGTAGAGGTAGCCTATTTATAGCACTGAACGCTGGAAAATATGCAATTGAAAAAGAATTTAAAATGTATGGAGAAGAATTAGGACAAAAGTGGCATATAAGCCAAGAAAACTGAGTATTTCAAGAAGGGAGCAACATATCTAATAGTAAAAGGGGAATAAAAAGCATGAAAAAGCTTTTGGATTAGAAAGTATATGATAAAACCATATCTATCTTGAGCCTTAAATTACCGGCATATGGGGGATTCTGT